TTCAGGTCCTTATTACCTTTCATTTGCACTAGTAAAATAGCCTCCTAATTGGTCTCCCTTCCTCCAGGCTCTGCCCACTCCAGTCTATCTTCCATACTGATGCCAAAGTATATACATACAAAGCATCTACTATATAACACATATTACATATAAAAATGTTTCATATAATGTTACATAAAATAGCCTGGTTATACACACACATATAAAACATATGTGTTACATACAACACTTATATTTTGCAAACATTAGCCAGTCACTTAGCATTTATTAAGTACCCACTATGCGCCAGTCACTGTGCTAAGTGAGGAGACACAAAGAAAGACAAAAGATCGTTCCTTTTCTCAAGGAGCTGACCATCTAATGGGGAGAAAACACAAGAACAACTAGGTACAAACAAGGTATACACAGGAAAAAATTGGATGTAATCTCAGAGGGAAGGTATTAATTAAGGAGGACTGGGAGAAGCTCCTTGCAGAAGGCAGGAATTTAGCTGAGACTTAAAGGAAGCCAGGGAAGACAGAATGGACATGGAGATGAGGAGGGGGAGAATTGGAAGGAGAGGGGGAGACATCTGGAGTCTGGAGATGGAGTATCAAGGGTGAGGAACTGCATGGAGGTAGGTGTCAATGAATAAAAGCGTATATGAGGAGTAAAGCGTAAGAAGAGATAGGAAGGGGTCAGGTTATGAAGGACTCTGAAAGTCAAATGGAGGATTTTATATTTGATCCTGGAGAGACTAGGGAGATGCTGGAGTGTAATGAATAGGAAGGAAGGTGATGTGGTCAGACCGACATTTAAGGAAGATCAAACTGACAGCAATATCAAGGGTGACAAACACAAATATTTTACATATGATAGTTATATGCTATAGCCATAGCATTTTCCGCACAACATTCCTGCATAGTGCAGATATCATAAGGCATATCATGGGCAGCAGGTAGAGTACTGGACACGGGGTCGGGAAGATCTGAGTTCAAATCCAGCCTCAGACACTAAGTAGTTGTCGACCCTGGGCAAGTTACTTAAGTTTGGTTTGCTTCAGTTTCTTCATTTATAAAATGGGGATAATAATAGCACCTAACTTCCAGGTTGTTATGAGGATCACAAGAAATGATAATTGTAAAGTGCTTAGCAGAGTATCTAGCACTCAGTAAATGCTATATAAATGTTAGCTATTATCATCATCTTCAATTTAAAAGAAACTGAGGCTCTGAAAGAAAAAAAAATGAATTGCTCATGGTTGGTCCATTGTCAGTATCTGAGGCAAGACACAAACCCAGGGCTCTTGACATCATGAGGCTTTTTGGAGATAACAATAGAATTAGACTTTGAAGGACAGTTGGGATACCCTTTAGAGGACAAAGATATTCTAGGCAAAAGTGACACAGACAAAAAGACAAGCACAAACACAAATTTGCAATTAATCAATCAGAGCATATTTCCTGAGTACATAACACATACAGGGAGGGCACTATGTGGAAGACAAGAGACGAAGTATCTTTTGTTCTCATGGAGCTTGCAGACCAGATGAGACAAACCTGTATGAAAGGATAAATGAGAGATACCACAAGGAAGGGTACAATTAGTTGCTAAATGAATGGAGCAGACAGTAGGGCTGCTGATGGAGCTCAAAGCTGACAGAGTGGTCGATAATCAATTGCATTAAAGGATGTTCAGCACCTAGCATATAGCACTACAGTCCAACTAGGGCTTGTCAAAAAAGTAAAGAATTTTTACAGCCAGAATAGATCAATCAATCAATCACTCAACAAACATTTTAGGCACCTACTATGTGCTAAGTGCCTAGGATATGAATTTGAAATAAAAAGTAAAACAATCCATACTCTCAAGTAGCTTCCATTCTAATTGGGGGTAGGTTGGTGGGCATATACAAACATATACAGAATAAACATAGAGAGAATAAATACAAAGTAGTTGAATACAAGGTGGTTTGGGAGGTAGGGCACACTAGTAGTTTCAGAAAATGTTTCACGTAGGAGGTGACTTGAGCTGAGTTCTGAAGGAAAATCACTTTCTTGGCAGTGTGAGGGTGGAGTAGAATAGTGAGACCAATTAAGAGGTCATTGCAATAATCTAGCTGAGAGGAAATAAGGGCCTAAACTAAGGTGACAGCTGTATAAAGAGATGAGGGGTCTGATAAGAGAGATGTGAAGGCAGAAACAGCAAGATTTGGCAAATGATTAGATATATAGGGTAGGAGAGAGTAACAAGTTGAGGATGAAGATGTGGCTACAAACCTGGGAGACTAGAAGGATAAGTGGTGTTTTCAATAAGAATAAGGAAGTCTGAAAGAGAGGTGGGTGTAGGTGAAAGTCTAGTGGGTTCTGTTTTGGAAATGTTGAGTTAGAGATGTTTCTATGGCATCTAGGCAATCACTTGGTGATGCAGAACTGAATCTGAGGGGAGACTGAGGCTGGATATATATAGCTATGTGATGGTAAATGTGAATTTACAAGGTCACCAAGTAAGAGAGCATAGAGAAAAGTGAAAAGAGGATGCAAGATAGAACTTTAAGGCATGTCCACAGATGGGTGGTATGATATGGCTAAAGAGCCAGAAAAATAGATTGAGGAGTAATTAGATAGGTAGGAGAAGAGTAGAGAAGCAGTAGAGAGTAGGGTCAGAGAGGAGATAGCACACAGGAGGAGAGGGTGGTCAACAGTGTTAAATGCATATGGGTTGAGAAGGATAAGGACTGAGGAAAGACCAGGAGGGAGAATATTAAGGAGGGATATAGGAGATATATTTAGGCAATGTAAAAGCAAAATATATCAATAAAATTTTATTAAAAAAACAAACACAAAAGAGATCATTGCTAACTTTGGAGAGACCAGTTTCATTTGAGTGACGAGGTTGGAAGTCAGAACGGATCTTAGTGATCATAGAACTATAGACGAAGAGTTGAAAGGAACCACGGAGGCCCAGTGAGTTCAATCCTTTCCTTGTAGAGATGAGAAAACTGAGGCCCAGGGAGGTTAGGTGACTTGTCTGTGTTGTATCCTGTTGTCTTCCAGTACAACTCTCCTAATTAATGAGGTTTTTGATTAAGCTGATTGTTACTTCAAGCACTTAATATGGATTAGATCTTCCCTTTTAAGCTAATCAGGAGCTTACTGAAAATATTTCAACACTTGAACAAAGTTTCATTAGCACTATTGATCCAGATACACTGTGATTTTGCTTAGTGTTTAAGAGACTACTATCCTGGGCTCTTCAAAGTATGATCTCAAGGTGAGCTCTGACGCTCAGTTTAAATTTGCTGGGTGCCCTCTACAAACTGGCCGCCCCTAATGGTGACAAAAGGGTGTGGCACAAAAATCTTAAACTGAATAGGAGCTAGACCCCTAAGTATGCTTTACTGGGCTCTTTTTGCCTTGCTCTGGAACTATAATCAAATCAACATTATCAATGCTTCTGTTGTCAATCCAATGCCCTATGGATCCACTCACCAGCTTAAACCAAAACACTTCTCTTTGGCTACCACTGTCCTGCATGTGTTGTCACCACCTGTTAAAATGTAAGCTCCCTGATGGCTGGTTCTGTCTACTTTTGTATTTGTATCCCCTTAATACATGCCTTTTCACCTACTAATTAAATAATTAATTGATTATTCTTAAATGTTTATCAACTGATGGGGGAAGTAAGAGGTTTCTTTCTTCCTTCACTTTTTTATTTTTTTCCCTCTCTCCTTTCCTTCCTTCATGCTTGCCTTTAACCCTTTCGCTAGAATTATTCTCCTTACCAAGCCACTGGGCCTAGAGACTAGACCACAGACCCCACTCTGCTATTTATTTCTCTGATGACAGCATCCTATCATTTTACACCCAAGAAAACCGAACCTCACATAACTTGTATGACCTAAATATTCGAGGATGGTAAAACAAACAAAAAACAAACAAACCACTTTTCATGATCACATTTCTCAAAGCTTCTTACTATGATTATTTAGGAGAATTAATGTTGGAGTGGGAGAAGGAAAGGGCTGTCATTTTTAATATATGATCAGCTGGCTTTGCTAAATTATTTGTTGCAAGGCCAGCCAAGGAGGGCTGTGTATATGTGTGTGTGTGTGTGTGTGTGTGTGTGTGTGTGTGTGTGTGTGTAAACTCCCATTTTAATTTCACTTGAATGTTTGAGAAAATTACGGAATTTTAGGCTGGAGGGAATTCTAAGTGACTACTGAGACTGTTTGTTGCTCTCCCTATTAGAATGTCAGCTCCTTGTGGGTAGACTGTTTTCCTAAGACCCCTACATGTTCACAACAAAAACTACTGAGAAGTAAGACATTCCTCAGGCTTTTTTTTTTGGGGGGGGTAGCAGCTTGGAATATGGATGGTGTGAGAAGTACGAGGTTCCCTTGCTCTTAGAGGTAAGCCTGCAGGATACTGTCATTAAAGAGATAAATGGGGAGAATGGGAACCACAGTCTAGTCTCTTTTTCTTTGTTTGTCTCTACAAGTGTATAAATGTATTTTTCCCACACATAATATACACTACACACTGCAACAAATAACAGTGAGGCTGGACGAAGATGAATGCTTTTTATCTATGGCCTGACTTTTCCCATCCCATTTCAGAACTCAGCATTTGTTCTGCCAGCACATCCTCGGCTGCCTCACAAGAGGCATCAGAAATGATACTCTAGGGGCAACTAGGTGGCGTGGTGGATAGAGCACCGGCCCTGAAGTCAGGAGGACCTGAGTTCAAATCCGGCCTCAGACCAAACACTTGATACTTACTAGCTGTGTGACCTTGGGCAAGTCACTTAACCCCAATTGCCTAAAAAAGCAAAAAAAAAAAAAAGAAATGATACTCTATACTACCCTGTTAGAGATCAGAGCTAGATTATATGTAGATAAGTATTGATATTTATTCTATTGTGTGCTTTTTTTCAACATTGATAAAGATTTTTAAAGTATTTTTTCTTTTAGTTGAAGAAAAAAAAGCCAAACCATGCAATATAATACAAGCACCACTTACCAGGCCCCTTCTTGAAGAGATCTGTGGTGACTGTGCTTTTCAATATGGTACTTAACAGGGAATGCTGTCCTACTAGTATAGGATGCAGTTGTGACATCCATGAATACCATGGAACCTGAAAAAAATTAAGAACTGTTTCATGTGTTTATGTATTGACCTGATTCGATAGTGAGCTCCTTGAGCGGGGTGGGCCCAGAGGTATCCTCCGGAGTGTCTTGCACATGGCAAGTGCTCATTGAATACCTACTGACTGAGCTGTATCTGCAGTAAGGCTTTAAGGAAGTGCATCTAAATGATGGCAGCCTCCTCTGACAGCCATAATCTATCTAGGGTACGGCCTGACCTTGATGAGAACATGTCCAGATTGTCCATATCTGTTGTGTCCTTTCTTTGTGATAAATTTGAACTCTGATCATTTATTTTCTCATTTTCTGCCTTTTTATAAAGTAGGCACAGGATCAGAGGTTTAGATCTGGAAGACACCTTAGAGGCCATCAAGTCTAACACACTCATTTTACAGATGAAAAAACTGAGGCATAAAGAGGTTAAGAGACTTGCACAACTGTAAATGTAATATAAAACAATCTATGATAAGTGAATGAGTGAGATGAGCATAAAGTTTTATGTGAGATCCCCAGGTTCATGTGCTTGCTTGGGAGGGTGGGGCTGGGGGGTGGGAGGAGGTGTGCACCTGAGGGGAAGGGAAGAAAGATAAAGTGCTACTGGCTGGGAGGATGGGGAAGACTTCGTGGAGGAGGTGGTATTTGAATTCGTTCCAAAGGATGGGAAAAGAAGCTAGTAAATGTCTGACAGAGGATCTGAATCCAGGTCTTTCTGACTCCAAGTTCACTGCCATGCTACCTTTCTGAGGTTTTCCTCCCAATGAGATGATCCTTTCCTGTTCATTTAACTGGATTCTATTCACGTCCTGCTGTTTTCTTAATGGTGATTTAGAAATCTCCTATTAATCATACATAAGCCCAGCTGTGCAGTGTTCCCAAAACAGGTCACATACTGCAATGACAAACTCCAAGAGACTGTCCACTTTTTTTTTTTAAAGTACTCAAGCACTCTTCCAACAACTGGCCATTGCTTGGGACTTCAAAGCTTTATGATTATGGGGAGGTTTTTTGTTTTTGTTTTTGTCATGGAATTTTACACACACACATATACAGATACAAACATTTTTATGGAAAAATCCAGGGAGGCTACCACATTTACAAAATGCAGCTGCTCAAAGTGTAACACTGAAGGTGAGAATTCGAGGCACCCCGGGATAGTTTCCGTTTTACAGAGCTCTTTTTCCTGAGGATTCATTTATTGTCTGGTTTCAGTGCTGATGAAGATACAGTAGTCAGTCACCACGAATTTACCTAGAAGTGCATCCATTTCCTCAGAGTCTCTGGCAGGCTAATCAAGTAGAGGAAGCTTACAAAAGGATTACAGAAAAGACACAGACACAGATATAACACTCTGTGGTTTTAGCTGCCTCCTGTGAAGGATGAATAGAAAGCAGACATACATGACCAATTCCCCCCACATACGTGTAAGCAGTTTCCATTTTCCATTACCTGACCCTTAACATCTCTGCTCCTTTCTCTTCCAAACAAGGAGCCAGTCTCATTTCTGCAGCTAGGCATTAAAAATAGGAATACAGTGAAGTGAGGCTTTTACCCCCAGGAGGAATCCACACAGCCCAGTATAATAACCCTAAAAGCCCCAGTTTTCACTTGTCAGCAGAAAGCTATCCTGTACCCTACTAGTCTGGACAACCTCAAAAAACTTCCCCCACTTTTAGATTCATAAAAAAACTCATCCTACCCAGCTCACATAACTTACTTCTTCTCTCTTCTGATCCACTAAGCCCAGTTTGCAAGTAAGAAGTGATAATTACTGATTCTCTTTTGGCTAAAGTGTGATCAAAATCTCCATAATAGGAAAAAAATCAACTAAATAAGAAGGCCTGGAGCTAATGTAAAGCTCTGATTGAATTGCTAAAAATAAGAAATAGGGTTTTATGACTTTACTTGGAAGAGTCAGAAGTCATCTTGCCTAATTATGTCTTACAGGACCTTATGGAAGAGATTTGAGATGTCCCTACTTAAAGCCACACAGTCATCAGACCTATCCCCTATGCAAGTTAACAACACATTTAACAAACATGTATTAAGCTCCTCCTGTATCAAGTTAACAACACATTTAACAAACATGTATTAAGCTCCTCCTGTATGCATAGCACCACATCAAGCTGTAGAAGAGAAAGACTTTAAATTAGACATAGTTTCTGCCCTAAGGGAGCTTATAGGCCAGGATGAAATGGCATACTCACAACTGTAAACGTAATATAAAACAACCTATGAAAAGTGAATATGTGAGATGAGAGTAAAGTTTTATGCGAGATCTCCGGGTTTACATGTTTGCTGGGAGTGGGTGGGGGGGTTGTGCATCAGAGGGAAAGGGAAGAGGGATAAATTGCTACTGGCTGGGAGGATGGGGAAGACTTCCCTGGAAGAGGTGGTATTTGAACTGGCTTCAAAGGATGGGAAAAGAATTCAAAAGCTGGTGTGGAGATGGAGCTATGTAGAATGTAATCTCTTTGGGGAGAGGGACTGCATTTCTTAAATCTTTGTATCCTGAGAGCCTAGCACAGTCTCTACATGTTGATAGACATTTTTTTGAATTGTATTGCGGGGGAAGGACAGAAAAAAACACTGCACCATGTCCAGGTAGGCCTGACTATCAGGGACTACTTAATTAATGTCACAGGACAATGAGCTAAAAACAGAATGCAAAGAATGACCCAATGAGTTGGCTGCTTCGCTAGAATGTAAGCTCCTTGAGGGCAGTGACTTCCCTCCCTTCATTTCTCTGTGTCCCCAGGCCTTAGCAAAGTGTCTAACACATACTACGTGCTTAATAAATGCTTACTGGTCAACTGATTGATTGATATTACATTTTACAAGAAAGGAATTAAGAATGGTAACAAGAGATGGAAGCGTTGTGGTATAGTCAGTCAATAAGCAGTATCAAGTGCCTACTAGGTGCTAGGAACTGTGGTAAGCCCTGGGGATACCAAGAAAGGCAAAAGACCATCCTGCCTTCAAAGAGCTCACAATATAATGGAAAGAGTATTGAATTTGGAATCACTATTTGGGTTTGAACCTTGGCTCTGACATTCATTAGCTCTCGACCTTTTAAAAATGTCTTATTAATTTTTTTATACCCGTGCCTCCTAACATTTCCCCCCACCACACTCCCCAGACTCTAACAAAGAAAACAACCAATAGAACAATCAAGACTGACTATGTATGCAACCTTCTGTACCCCTAGGCTACCACTTCTTTATTGAGAGAAGGGAGAGAGCTTTTATGAATGGCCCTATGGAATCAAGTCTGGTTATTGAATTTAATCTGATTTTTGATGTCTTTTATAATGTTCTCATTTACATAATCATAGTCATTGTGTAACATCCATTGTTCTGCTGGTTCTGTTTTGCTTTTTCTTGCAATGTTTCTCTGAATTGCCCATATTTGCCATTTCTTATGGTCCAATAATACTGTTATATTTGCACACCACAAGTTGTTCAGTCATTCCCCAACCAATAGGCACTTAACTTTGTTTCTACTTTTGCTTTCTTAACTTTGACAAGTTACTTTCCCTCCTTTTTGGCTCTCTGTTTTTTTCATATCTAAAATGAACTCTTCTTTAGCCATAAAGAACTAGGATTAGGATTAAATTGACAGTGCTAATCACATAAATTGAACAGTCCCTCAAAAGACAATGTACATAGTTTACATTAAAAATTATTTTTGTTTTAGAAAGCAAAATATTCTATATATTCTATAGAAGACATTCAGTAGCTGGCCAAGAATTCTAATGTAGGCATACTACATAACTAGCTGTGTTTGGGGGCTGAAAAGTAGGAAGGTCAATTGTGAGTGATGGATTTGGAGTTAGGAGACCTAGTTTTTTCTTATGTTGCCTCTGTTGCTTATTGTCTGGGTAAGCAGAGGCAAGACACTTCAACATCCTCCATGCTGTGGTCAACAACTTCATGAATGGGTATAGCAGAAATAAAATAAAATAAATAAAAATCATCAGTTGGTGGTTGCTCATCAGAGATCATGAGCATATCTCAACTTAACTAGCTAGGATAGTTTTTGCATTGTCTTCCATTGCCTGGCCTTCACTCTGAGCTTTTCTGATTCAGTTGTACCTACTACACTGTGGTAGACAGACAAAAGGTGTGGTCCACGGAACCCTGAGGTTTCCCAACACCTTTTCAAGGGGTTCATGAAGTCCAAACTATCTTCATAATAATAGTAATTTGTTATTTGCCCATTACATTACTTCTTCCTTTTCCAACTACATATTTGTGTGAGGTTGGATTTTTTTTACATACAGTATTTTAACAAAACAACATATCACAAAAGCAGATGGGAGAAATCCAGACATTTTCTGTTAAGCCAGACATCAAGGAGATTTGGGGGGAAAAGCAAAATAATGCTACTCTTTTCACTGAACTTTTTCTTAAAAATAATCATTTTTTTCCATAAAAACATATTCTGTTAATACAATGGGTTTATTATTATCTTAAAATTAATTAAATATTTAAAAATTTATTGGTTTAATTTCAACTATGGTGAATAAAGGTCTTTGGGGTCTTTAATAATTTTTAGGAGTGTAAAGAGGTCCTGAGACCTAAAATTTTGAGAATTGCTGACCTGGAGCTTATGATCTGAGGGTTACGTTTGGCGGAGAGGGGTGAGGGAGTAGAGGGAAAAAACTTCCCACCAATTGGTGATATGGATACAAACAGCTACTTCTGCTGTTATGCTGTATTCACTGTACTCTTGTTAAGCTGGTCTTTTAGTACAGCTCTTTGGACCATTAATCCCCTTGGCTAAATTTTTCTATGGCTCTTGCTCTATAACCCTCACCTTCTCCTAAGCTGTTTCATAAACTAAAGATTTCTTGTATTTGCTACAATGTATTCTTTTCTCCTCCTCTGAATGACACCTCAAAACCTTGATCTATGTAACCCCTTCAACAGTGCCTGGCTCAGAGTAAGCATTTTTAATAAATGTTCATTCATTTGGTATGATTTTTTTAGTA